TGGGGTCCTTTGGAATTGAAAAGTGTGAAATTCTAGCGAAATGTTGTGCTTGTCAAATAAAAAAAGCCTAAATGAACAATTATAAATGTATTCACCTATGTAATTCAATTGACATTTTTACATTTAAATATAAATTCTTTGAATTACGTATAAAATATGTAAACAATTATTTAATTCATTAACACATTCTTTCACTTACAAGAAAAATAACTCTTTTTACTAACCAACTGGCAGAATATTCACTAGTAACTTTAAACTGCAGAATTCTTTTTGAGGAATTTAAAAATAGCTAAGGCATTTATGAAAGGTATGCCATTTTTAGAGAACCCTAACATTCCCAAAACGAACAAATAAAAAATTTCAAATATTTACACACATATCGCAAATATCTGCAGCGCAATTGACTTCCACCGGAATTCCTTTCCGTATACAGCATTATTCAAAATGATGGACTTAAGTAGCCGTTAAATTGAAGTGGGTAAGAGAAAATAACAGAGCCAAAAAGGGGGAAAGATAAATGTTTGCTTATGCCAGCGCGTGTGTTTGTGTGGCTTAAGTTTAATACGCCATTCAATCAATTTCTGCACCGCAACTCCGAGCCAATGATGCCTGTGTGCCGGGCAGCCTTATCCTGTCGATGTCCTTCTTTTTCAATATTGTCGTTTGCATTTGCAAGTGAAGAAAATCCAGCGGGAAACGAACGCGTCATTATCCGTTCTCGCAAACAAAACGTGGCTGTCAGACAGGACCTCATCCTCGCACTTCCTTGGCCGTCGTGCTGCATTTTCTGGATATAGGATATTCGAACCTGGACAGAGACTACTCATTTTAAGTCTTTTGTCTGGACATTTATTTATTTATTTATTGTCATGCTTGTTTATTGTTTCGCCTTTGATTGGCTTCGGCTTTTGTCTTTACTTGCTTTCTCGCCCCATGCTATTATAGTCTGTATGTACCAGAGGATATATGCATATGCTTAAACAGAATAAATTTGATTAGATTTATGCCAAAATGAGTGTGACTTCGAGATAAGTTGGAAGACAATTTTGAAAATGAAATTATATGCAATAATGCTCAACGATTTCAGTCTGTGCTGCGACACATATCCTTAGCAATAAATTACATAAAAAGGCGGTTATATGCATTACCTTGTTATTTGTCGAAACATCAGCTTGCTGCTTATTTGGGCCTTCTACGAAATGTTTCCCATACTACATTTTTTTTCAGGGATTGACTTTCTTAGATTTATGTCCTTATGCTCAAATGATTGTTTATTGTTATCCCATTTATACCCCTATAGCGCTGACAAAGGAAAAAAATCCACACCAACCCTAAAACAGAAAATCCCCAAATTATAATAAGGTAATACACAAAAATTCAATCACATAAATTCCTTTGAAGAAGTGATACTCAAAATCAGTTTTTAATTTCTCTGAATACTGATTCTTTGGGTAATTATTTGTTGATTTAACAGCCTGCGTAAAATACTTTTGAATGTGAAACAAATATGTATTTATTTCCGGAAATCACATATTTCCGGTGAGCTCTCGGCCATTCAACGTGCTATTAATGAGCAGCACAATTAAATTTCACTCTCAAAATTACTCGAAAGGATGAACAAGACTTTGGTAAACGCCAAGTAGGCTAGTGATTGCCCTTTCTGTTTTGTTTGTGCTATTCAAAGTATCATTTATGATTTTGCCAAATATCTGAAATATTTGTATGGTATATTTTCGATGTTTCGTTGGTTAGATGTTCCTTATATATTTATACTTTTCCAAAGGATTATCTCTTTAAATTTCAGTTGTCTCTGGAGTACCCGTCATTCTCTATACATTAAATGAAATTTATGCAAAATTGGGATTGTACCTACGTGAGCGGATGTGTGTGTGTTGTCCTTTATTTTCCCCTGGCATAATATAAAACATCCTGTTGTTGCCTCTCACATGCCTATTGTCATAAATAACCCATCCTGAAGGTATGTTTGTGTTTGTGTTTGTTAGTGTGGGATCTCGTCTGAGTGGGTTTTGTACATTTTTGTGACTGGCTTAAATTTGTTGCGTTATTTGCGTCATTTCCGAAGCAAATCAAAAAAGGGGAAAATTCGAAGGCCAGACAATGTACAGAAAAAAATAAATAATGGGCGAAGAGAATGAGCGACTATGTGTGGGCGGACTGTGTAAAGTGTGTGCTTAATCAGCCAATCAATTTCATATACATATTTTAACACTTGAATGCGTTGGTAAAGAATAAAATTCCAATGCCGCTTGAGTTGAGCCCTCGGGCCGCAACAAAATGCCTACCGAAACATTCCACAGAATACAATGAGCATTGAACTCGGATTGTGAAATAGTTGAGCATTTTATTGTTATTTGAATACCTTGCCAATTCACATGAATATTTTACATTTTAATTTTTAATTATCAGCAAATAACCTTTTACTGCCATAGCAATATTGGACCGCATGGTCAAGACTTAGCGCTCCATAAAGCTTTAAAGTACAACATAGGGTCTTAAATTAACATGATTAAAAAAAATGGTTTCCAAAATTGTAAGGCTTTAAATAATTTTAAGGGAGCTTATTATTCATAAAGATAAAAGTGGGTCAAATTTATTTTTGACAGACTTGCAACACAATATTTTTTCCAAAACAAACTATGAGTACCAAATAAACTTGACTTGATTATAAATATTGAATTGTCAGTAAGCAAAATGTATGCTAATTAACATGATTATTTCCTAGTTTTAAAACGAAACCACTAGTTTCAGCCAGGAAACAAATGCCAAAGGCAACTATTTTTTGAAGTTGCTAAATGTTCTATCATCAAGTCACTTAAGTGATTTCAATTTGTGAAGCTAGTACACCCATATAGGGATTGGCTTCCCCACATGTAAAGACTTAAAAAGAGCGTCCCCATAAAGTGCCCTTGCCTAGTGGCATGTGGGAAGGACCCTGTGGGAAGGACTAAAGTGCAGCCACTTAGTCGGGCTCTATAGTTGCAGCTGGCATCGCCTAAAACATCGAACGTTAACGTATTTATGGCTGCACTCAGCTCGACAGCCGCCAACTGCATTGGCATACAAAGTGGGCGGCGATGGTAGTTTAAGCCAACATAACTTAAAAGGGACATCTTAAATTTCCGTCACCATTGGCATCCAGGGGCAATTATATCGACCGTTTCCTGACTTCACAGCCAACAAGGCGAAAATACATTTGTATTCACTGCTTTTCTTTCGTTTTTATTTTTACAATTTTCGTAACATTTCCGCCTTTTTGCATTCAATTTAATTTAACATAAACATTTATATGCTTACATTATTATCCAACGCACACGCAGGCAGCGCAGCTGCTGATGTGCACTGTGCAGAAGAGTTTCATGCTTCAAGTGAGCATACGTAGCGTATACGTAATGTGCAATTTTGTAACGGACTGAAGGGGTTAATGCAGTTAAGGGGCGACCACGGGCGGCGTCGGGGTGGCCCCGGTTTATGAGGGGAAAAGTATTCACTATAAATTTTGTGTGCGCACCACTTGCAACAACAACGGGCGAACGAGGACGGGAAGAACAGCAACAACAACTTAAATCTTAAGTAGCTCAACTTGTTTATTTATCGAAGCAGAAGTTAATGCGGTGGTGCTGCGAGCGGGTGGTCGGTTGGTTGCATGGAAAAATGCTGCAATGAGTCAACTCATTGTTGCTGTCGTGCCAACATTATTTACAACTGTTATTGCAGGTGCAATTCGTTGGCATATTAATATTTAAATGGGAATTGGCTTAAAGCCCATAAAGTACGAATTAAACAATTTAAAGAAATATTCTTCTATTCAAAATGCATTCCCCAAAGTCACGCAGTGCAAAACAAAATAATAAATAAAAACCAAAACAAATCAAATATTATAAAGATGGGCAAGAAAAACGCAGACGAAACTTTATCAAAACAAATTATGAGTGCCCGACATATAAAAACAAACGAGATACGCCATTCAAGATAGATACAAGCAGATATAGATACAGGCGACATGATGTGGCCAACCCATGGGAATAAAAGGATGGGGCAGCAGGACAAACTAGAGTTGCAGTCGCAGAAGCACTGCTTTTAATTTTCCAGACACGTGCGAACGGCGTAAACAACAAAACAAGTCCGACATATCAGAGGACAAATAAGCAAAATTTTGTTTTGATATCTCTCCCCTTTCTGTGGTCTTTATAATACCCCCTTCGTTCCACTACCCAGGGTTTATTGTTTTCAGCCTGTATACATTTTTAATTCAAAATACTTTACAAATGGCTTTATTAGTTTAAAGTACGAGAATAAGCTGCATGGAACCACATTGCCAGTTAAGCGATCATCCGATTTTGATAAAACTAAAGTTATTAATGCATTGCTAAGAAGAAAAAGCCCTACTATTTTTCTAATCTTGAAAAAAGCAGATGCTGATAAAGAATAAACATTGTTTCTGGGGTCGAAAAAACTGCGTTTCAATCTTCTGACCAACATTGTTAAACCCTCTGCAAAAATATAAATATAATTATTTTTAGAGGGTATTTTATCGTATGAATATGGCTTTTTTTTTGGCTATCCTTGTTTTAGAAATTTTGGCACGCATCATTTTAACGCAATTATTAGGGGACCAGCAGCCTCAGAGCGTCACACAATTTTTTCCCGCTTGCGTGCTATGAAAATTCTCAGCCGATAGAGGGCATATTGCAGGGTGCACAAGGAAACCATCAATAAACTCAGCCCAGCCACGGTTCCACAAATCAATCGCGGTTTTTTGTAGTTCAAAAAAGGATATATATAGTGCTTCCCGTTTCTGAAACAGACATAATTGAATTAATAATCCTCTAAAGGCGTAAAATGCTGTTCCTACATGTTACGGCCACCCAGTAAATAGAATATTAACGTGAATACTCCGTAAGAGAAAAGGAAGGCCAATGGATAGACAAAGTGCATCAGACGTGCTGGCTGCGCCACCACAAAATGATCAGCGGTGAAGAGAATCGGCGGGAGTAGATGAGTCCATATGTTGTAAAGAGTTGATACCCTAGCCGGATTGGTTAGCACCCGATCGTCGGGATATATAGTTGTCCAATAGGTAAGTGCTATCATACAAGCTAGTGATAAATTGGTCCAGTAGCATGCCCAATAGGTCTTGATCCAAAAGCTGGGCGGAACTAAAAGGGAAAGATAAATTGGTTTATAATAGCATTACAACACAGTATTGAATTGGTTAAGGCTTAGTTCCATTCACAAAAACTTTTAGACTACCAAATTATGGTAAACTATATTGCCTTACCCCATGTTTCCGGTTTGCAGTGATAGACTGACACAAGTATAGCACCAGTAAGGCTCGTAAGGCCTCCCAGGATAAATCCCAAGTTTGTCAAATATATGAAACAATAGCCGTGATGGTAGTACTGGGTTGTGTACCTAATCACGCCCGTGCCAAAAAAGGCGCCTAATAGCCATCGATAGGTGAGAAAGTAAAAAGATTTCGGCTTTGACTGCCACTAAAAATGAAACTTTAGTGCAATCACCTCATTTAAAATATAAAATGAACCAACTTGCGATCGTAAAAAGTCCTGGGGAGAATCGTGTTCTAGGCCAAATCTGCGAAAGCGGAACTCCTCCCTCAGACTTAAGGGTTCCTGCCGAAGAACCGAGGATTCTGACTCGATTCCCGCCTTCAAACGCCACATTCATAAAAGAATTTTATGTTAATGCAATTAATTTGTTAATTTTACGCCATATCGTTTGGAGATCAACAGATAGATGAATTAAAGTTCAAGGCCTCCACTGGACACCGAATTCCTGTCGGCAAATATCCCACGGCATATTCCCCTGGACTTCTTATCTCGCCGAGCACGCGGCTTGTCCTGCATAATTAACAGATATATGCGATTCAGTTGGGGTCCCCGGTGCGTGCGTGGCTCCCTGGACCGGGGGATCCCCCTTCATTATTCACCCTTAACCCCCCTCGTCTCACGCAAATTACGACATGTGGCTGACATCATTTTCCTTCCGCAGCCATTCAAAGATTACGGCGGGTGAAATGAAACCGGGGACCGAAGAACGGGCAGGATGTCGTTTTGAGCCAAGCAGACACTTTTAATTGAGAGACACTTGGCTGAGCTGTGGCGTGCAATTAAAATGCCATTACATGTGAAAATAAAGCAGCAGCTGCACAGTGTGCTAAGAACCACTTTATTCTGGTTTTTTATTAATGATAGCCAAAGCAAAAAACTATAAACCATTAGTTTAGTAATTTATATATTCAAATAATATAAGTATTATTTGGACCGCCCAAGCAAAAACTTCTAGTTAAAGTGTCATTCTAGTTTTTATTTTATTTAAATATTAAATATTTTATAAAAGGAAATAACAAAAAGTTGTTTGGTTAATGCCCTAACACGAACAATATTTTTTTTATAGCTTCACCGTAAAAAGGTTAGTTATATAGAAAATGTAAGACTTATAAAATTTAAGTTTTTTTATTGACACCTTGCACTTTTTGTCTTAATAAATGTATATGCACTTGGACCACAGTGCCGCTTAGCAGAATAAGTTGTGCAGCAAGGATTTTAAGATTCTGGCTAGCTTTTGGCGGTGATGTGGACCCCTGGGTGATTCTTCTTTGTGGACAAACGGTGTTCGTCTGTAAGTCTAGGTAGCTAACACCCCTGGGGTTTTCTTAAGGAGCAATCATTTCTTCTAGCCCCTTTTCCACATCTTTTCCCAAATGTCTGTATTAGTTCGTCTGACACTAGTCTGAATATCTTGCATATACATACATGTCAATATAGTCATTAATATACGTACATATATACTAACATCTAAACCTAACATCCTTGCCAGCCTGCGGCCATTAAATATGCAAATTTTGGTTGGTTGTTTCACTTTTCTGATGTGATTTTATTCTCTTATTTTTCCAATCGATTAGCTGATTTCCACATCAATCGAAAAGAAAATCTTTCATGTCGTGAGGACAGGATATTGTGTTGAAGGGGTTGCAAAACTTATAAAAATTCCCATAGCCAATTGTCATAAATAACCCTCCATCGTGAGAAATTTTCTGCTCATTGATTATCGGAAGTACAAAATTATTCGGCTTGCGTAAATTTTGTAAGTTATCGACATGATTGTTGTTCGTTCGATTCTACATACAATCTTTATTCCATCTTAATGCAAAAAATAATTTATGTTTTATAAATAATATTAATAAGAATACTTTCCAAACTAAAGCGCTGATTAGGTTATCAATTTCCTAAAAACAGTCAAAGTTTGTTTTTGTTTGACAATACCTAGACTTTAAAACGAAGGTATACAGATTTTGATGAAAGCATTCCGCTAGTCAAACCGTAAAAGTGAGGTGCTCAATTTAGCTTATTGAAAGCTAGCAGGAAAATTAAATTTACTAGTGGCAAGCAGCCCATTGGCGTGCCCTACTTTCTTGCACCCAAGGAAGTCAACTCTTTGGCAGTTTGCCATCAAGTTGCGCTTTAAAAATGCGTGCTACCAGGATGATGGCAGTGTGGTTCGAGGTGGTAGGGTGGGCTGCGAAGGGTTAAGTGTTTTAAAGTGAGCCGCCATTCAGGCCATTTCTATGTTATCGCAATTTACCAACGACTCCTGCCGCCCCAGGAGGCGATACCTCACGTGTCATTATCTTAATTTAAGGCAGTCCTTGCCCCAACCGCCCCCTCCCACCACCCTTCCGTTGATAGAGCTTCTTTCAGCTCGCATATCTCTTACTTGAATACACAATTATGTGGAAGGGCGTGTGCCAGGAGTGTTGCGAGTGGTGGTGGTGGTATGTGGGTTGCCCATGTGGGGTGGCTTAAAATTAAATTTCTCATGCTTAGAGACCGTGGACCTGTGCCGTTCCTCATTATTACAAGTATATAGTCGCGTGGCAGGGGCTCGAAGACGAATGCGGACACGGTCTGTGGCTCGTTACTGCGCGGCTATATCACGACTTGAGATTCGTCGAGAGCTCTCCCAGTTCTAGTACATCACTCAAGCTGGGTAAACTAACTATGTGATAAAGAGCACAAAAGTGCAAAGGGTGCAAAAAGTCCCAATGGAGAAATAAACTTTTGTTAAGGTAACTTATTGCGAGCTCCATACCGACAGATGTATCTTCTTAATAAAATTAAGTTGAATACAAAATTTGCTTAATATTTAAATATTTTTTTGATCATTTTAATTGTTCAATTAAAGCTCTTTGTATCCTTTAAATGTCATACGACGTCAAATGGGGAAAAGTCAAAGTTGTATAGCTGCAATAAGTCCTCCTAAAATGCAAAAAAAAGATCTAAGGTTTTTATACTTCTGGTCACTTTTAAACAAGTTCAAACAAAAGTAATGAATCAAGATTGTTGATTTTTTACGAAATTCATTTACAAGTTCGGCAATTTAACTATTACCAAGGAAAGCGTAAACACAACATGCAAACTTGGCAATGCTCTTTTCTGGCCCTCTGCGGAAATCAATGCATGCCCAATGCATCTGAATCTGAATGCATATTGAAAATGTGCATAAATGCTGGCAGGCCTGGATGAAGAGGGTCAGGGGTGGTGACAATGCCGTCTGCTTCGTATTTATGCAACTCACACACCCACAATCAATTATGCAATATGAAAAGCCAAGGCTTGTCCGAGGAAAACGAAAAATCGAAAAGCATTTGCGGCAATTTCTCAATTCGAAGTGAAGGCAGCTGGCATTTCGGTGGGGCAGAGGGGGTATTGAGGTTGGCCCAGAGGCGCCAAAAGGGGGAGGGACAGGGCGGGGCCGGAAGGGTGGTGGGCTGTCAGGGCAGACTGCATCGCAACCGGACCCCCGGGCTACGTCGACGTCTGCATTGCGCCATGCAAACTCGAGCTGCGGCAGCAACAACTCATTTTTTCCCATTTTGTATTATTGACAAAGAGGGGACTGTCGACTGTCGACTGCCGATTTTCATTGAATATTTTTCGGCCAGAACAGAACGAGGGGCTTGGTCCTGGGCCTGGAGAGGCCTCCAACGAGGTCCTTTTGGAGCCCCAGTCAGAATCATGGCTTTCAGACGGGAGTTTGTGCCAAAGGCTAGCAAACAGTTTGCACCACCAACAATGCCCAATCGACTCGGCTCGAGACCCTACTCGACATTCTGCTGACCTCAATATTTGCTCAACTTTTCAGCAACAATTTTGTTATGCGATTTTGGCCCCCCATCTCCCCACCACTCCCCCCTTCTCCTTACCGACTAGCCTGTCATAAATGCCTGCAGTTTGGCAGTTTGTGCAGTGAAAGTGATTTTCGGATGGGTTCAGTTGGTTTATTGCTTTGATTTGCTGCCCGTAACTTCACTGGTGCTGATTACGCTGGGTGTTTTTGGTCGCTTTTGGCCAGCAATCAGTGCCGGCAAATCAAATTTCATGCCTCAAACAACAATCCACTGACTGAGCTAAAGGAACATAACAGCCAAATTAAAGATACGGCCACATATTCGACCTTGTATCGGGTTAGAGGCGGACTCACCCACAATCGCACCAGGAGACGGCACACCAGGAGTACTTGGCACACGGGTCCCAAGCTAAGGATCACCAGGAGGCGCAGGCTGTGGGCGTGGCCGTTGGACAACACCAGCTGACAAATGGCCGAGGAGAAACAGACGAACATCACGAAGTTCGACACCAGAACCAATGTGCTTATGAAGCCCAACTTGCAGCGCTGCAACAAAATCGAAGGTGAGATGCCACACGGACAAAGGAACAATCACTTCTTACGGGCACCAGGAGAGCCAAATTAAACGGCAACAGCAGGACCAAATGATTTCTGAAAAGGACCTCAAAGAATTGCCAGCTTGATGACCTGAGGACCTCATGCCAACTCCGATGAGATCCCAAAGCAACACTCTCTTCATACACCAGTGGTACATAGTAGAAGGTGTTCACCGGTCCGTCCGAGTCAATCGAAGCTGTCAATGAAAAGTGTGAGGAGCTTGTACAAGTCGGATATAATTAAAACACACCCTGAGCCAGGTGCTTGAACATATTGATCACATAGTACAGCAGGAAGTTGTGCAGAATAATCAGAAGGGCATCTTTTTTCAAGGGATTTATTGATCGCTAATTATAAACATTAAATCTAGATTAAAGTGCTCAAATAATGCAGGTAATATGGCTTACGAAAACCAGGAATATCTGGTAAAGAACTATGATGAACGTCACAATTAACTCGTGCACATCGGTCATGATAACTTGCCTTGAAAATGTTTATAATTTTGAACTAGGTTTCCAAAACAAAATTTAGATTGATAGACAATAAAGTCGTTGAGTTGATTTTAATGATTTCAATGTATTGACAAGCTGCGCAGGTGCATTTTAAACCCAGTGTACGCAATTATTCAACAATACACAAAATTATAAATAAATATATGTATGTTGTGACCTTTGTAAACTAAGACTAATTTGAATTTATATGTTTGCCCAGAGACAAAGGCAAATTACACTTTTACTGCTTGATTTAATTCAAAATGGCTTTGCTAGTTATCTATTGAATTTTATCCCTTTTATTTACAGGACTTTTGGCAAGTCCATTCATCAAGGAGCAACAACAGTATGTCCAAGGGGTCACCTCAATTATTATGCTTATAATTAAGAGTATCTGGCCGCAGGTATTCTCAGTCAAGTTCGTAGCCTAATGGCCTACAATTACCAATTAACAGATTATTCCACTGACCGAAGTGCTTGGCGAAGATGCAGGTCAGAATCGAAGCTGTGCAATAGTGGAGGTAAAACAAAATAATTTAATTTAAATTTCCAGAATGTGCAAATAATGTAAAACATTTCTGCACATTTTAAGTGCTGCTGCAAATTGACTGTCAGTCAGGCAAAGCGGCCACAAACATCAGAAACTGCAGCGACAACTGCAACAACTTCTGAACAACTACAGCAACAGCAATAAGAGTTACAAAAACAACGACCGCACAATGGCAACTGCTGGGGAATATTCGCATATTATACAAACAATAAACATTGTTAATTAATTTACTTCAACTCGAACGGAAAACTGCACTTTGGCCCACTTCACCGATAAGAATGGCTTTAAGCTCCTCTGCATACAGGAGTTGCATATTGAGATATTCCCAATTCATGAATGTTCGTTGCCAGTGATTAAATCAATTTCAATATGACAATAAAATATTTAAAGTATAAGCAATTATATATATGTAGAACTAATGAATAAGGTTAGCCCATTAAGGTACTATCCTAAATAATAATTGAGTGTTAAGCATTGACATACATAACGAGTGTTAAGCATTGACATACATAACGAATAAAGCATATTGACTTTAATTACATGTCTTCCTTTTTACAATCCCAAAACTCCGGTGCAATGCACACGAAATTAATTTTCAGAACGACTACCGGGAATACCATAAAATTGACTTATTAACGCTTATATGAAATGGCGCTTACTTCGGGCTTTTGATAACTTGTGGCATATTTCAGGAGCACTGAATATAATGCCTCATGCAAGCGGTATCATTATAAATAATGACTCTGATTAAATATGATGTAATCCTTTGGCAGGGCTGCGAATTCTGGTATTTTTTAAATGCTGCAAACTTAATTAAACATTAATCATAGCATCGGGCAGAGGCGAAGTGGAGGATGAGATAAGGCGATCGGAGGCTGGAACAGACAAGTGCATTAATTAACGGGCGGCTGTTCCTGGTAACTGACCATAAAGGATTTGCGTTATTAATTGAACGCTTTTCGGATCAATATTCTACAACTCGCGTTGCGAGCTGCGCACTCTCATGCCACACCTTCCACACATCGGTGTACCCGCCTTTTTATTTTTAGTAATTTGTTCGTTTGGGCCATTTGAGAATAACTGTCACGTACGTCTGCCATGGCCCGAACCCATGCACACACTTACATTTCATCAAAGGAAATCGAGCTTGAATTGATTTCGCTCACATAAGCCGACTCAGCCTCCCTCCAAATATACCTTGGCCCTAATGTGTGTCATTTGGCCGGCAGTTATCTTGGGGCCAAATGCACAAAGGGGCGGTAATTTTCCGTACATTTGCTTTTTGCCAACAAAAACAAAAGATCCAACCACGAGGAGATTTTTTTTCATTTTCCTTGCTTGTTAGCTAAGTGAATTTTTATTTCCCCTTAGCTTTTAGTAAATGTCCATTAAACTTATTCGATTGGGGACTATATTTAGTGGCGTATATTTAATTTTATTTGAAATTTCTTTTATAAACGTGTGAAGTGTAAGTTGTTGAATAGACCTCGTAAATCTAAAAAGAAACATTGGGGCTTGAAACTTTAATAAACCCAAATCTGTATCATCATGGTGTGTATGGGAACATGTTAATGTTTTCATTTTTTCCGAACATACAATTTCCGCTGTGTCCTGGCGCTGAAATTCATATATCAGCCGCATCTTCAATCAGCAAGCGCAACAAGTTACAACCAAAAAACCCAAGGACTCCAACTCGATCCCTGCATGCATTTCAATTTCATTCGCAACAGAACTGAAAAAACGGCGAAAACTGAGACTCATTTACACATTTATGTGGGAAAACGTCAACTCCTGAGTAATTTATGCACACAACGGCATTTAAATGCCTTTTTCCTTCTTTTTTTTTCGAAACAAGGCCGCTTCAGTTCGTCACTGTTTCGGGTTCACTTTCATTTTTCACTGCGCAATGTCCCTCTGAGTAAGAGAAATGAGCTGTAATGGGTGCCAAAAGCCAACGATAGGGAAAAGCAGACAGGAGACAGGAGGCCACCAGACAATTTATGCGAGCTTGGGGAATTGTTTCGAAAATTGACAAATTATGGTCGTAAGTGCTGCGATTAGTCCGTTCGTTGTTATTTTCGCCAACTGTCCCAAGGTTGTCTCCGCAAAACCACAATATGCATTATATACTTGTATATTTGGTGAAACCGGGTTATAGCATCCATTCTATTGGGGGCGCTGCGTGTTATTAATAATTCAATTTAGCCGTCTCACAACAGGCGCCGGTTCAGAGAACTCCGGGAAAGCTTCGAACACGCAACTGCGATACCTTCGGCTCCAATCTTCCACAAACGAAACCCCCATTACCATTCCCATTCTTGAATCCATTCACCGTTCAGCGCCGGCAGTTACCCGTTTCATTTCCATGGCGGATGGCTCATTATCTATTCATGCAAGTTAAGTGCGAAAGCTCATATAGTGGAATAATAGATTGAATTTCCTACACGAGCCGCTACAACTGCATAAACAGTTACACGTGCTATGTTAACCGAACTGAGAGGAAAACATGTAACTAATACTGAGCACTGATGTTCTACCAAAACCATATTGGCGCCTTTTAAAAAATATTTTTATTTCATCTTTTATTCTTGAATTATAAATGATTGTATTTTTTATGAAACACCATTGAACCATCCCATTTTAAAATAGGATACTTTTCTCTTTATTATCCACAATTAAAAATTTAAATAAAACTCATTCCATTGACGACTGTTATTTGCTTATAATTTAAAAATAATTACAATTTTGTAAAATGACGAGGTACACTTGCTTTGAAATAAAACATCTAACATCTACAAACGGAAGTCGCATGAAATGAAACAGGATTCGCTGACTTGGATTTGAAGACATGACTTGATTGGAGGGGAATTTAGCAGGGTTTGCAGACACGGCGACGCTGATGACGTTTGCTATGGGTCACCTTACAGGCCTGTAAGGATACAATATAAAACCATTATAAAAAATAATAAAATCAAAAGTATTCACCATAATTGAATAAATCTCTCGACAAAAGTAAAGTCCCTTGTTTAGATGCGTGTTTTACTGTCAAGGAAAGGGAAGATGTCCAATAGAAACGCTTACCATGCGGCGATAGCGATCCTTTTTCTCCTCCGGCAACATGGACCAAGCTTTGGCGGCCTTCATGATCAGTTCCTGCGGCTTGAGGTCACAGTTCTTCTTGCGGAACGCACGCACAAAGTTCAGATACCCGTTATTGGTAATCGGACCCGGCTTGCTGCACTTGTATTTTTGTTCTGTTGCGCACGCGCTCTTTTTTGGCTTGGGGCAAGCCGGCTTTCTCGCTGGCTTGGCACATGCCGCCTTCCTTGGCTTGGCACAAGCCGCCTTCTTTGGCTTGGCGCAAGCCATCCTCTTCGGCTTGCCACAGGCCGCCATCTTTTTCGTCATGGCACAGGATTTCTTCGGTTTCGCGCAGGATTTTTTAGACTTTGCGCTGCTCTTGGCCATTGGATGGTTGCACATGTCACTTGGTCGTTGAGTCGGTTCATTATCAATAGTCATGGCAAGGATCCCCATGTCGGTAATGGGACCGGTGCGGTAGCGATCTTTTTCCTCCTCGGTCATTTGCTTCCAGGACCTCGCACCCTCCTTTGCGGACTCCAGCCAGCTCAAGTTACTGTTGCGTCGACAGAAGTCGCGCATGTAATTAAGAAATCCATTTTTTATCAACGATCCATTGCTCATGCTCGGGCTTTCGCTAACTTTACCGGTCGTGGTTAGAGACATATTCGTTCTGGGTATAAAAATTTAGAAAATTATTAAGTAAAGAATTCGATTTCGTTTGTTATAATAAGCTATAAGACAACGGTATTAAGAATTAATAAATTAAAGGTGGTATTTTTGTGGTTCCCTTTTCACTGCATAGCTGTGAAGAAGTTCACTATTAATTGCGATAAAATAGTTTGTCCTGCATGAAAGGAAATTGACGCAGTGAATGCCGGCCCTAGAAACCGCAGAGTTGTGTCCTGTCGAAAAGTCACTTAATCAGCGAGTTACCCGAAACCGGAACCAGAAGTGGAGCCTCATCTCCGTCCAGAAGCCTGGAGACCAGGACCAAAAGACCTGTACTGCAGGCGACAAGCGGTTGCAAGTGCAACAAAGCCCATAATTAATATTACTTTACAGTTGCAAACTGCCGCTTGACAGCCCACAGTTTAGTCACCATGTGTGAGGGTCTAGAAGTGTCGGTTGTTGGCCAAGACCAAGGGTTATTAAGAATGGTTTATTTAATTGCCGGGCAAATTTCCATGTCTCTTATGGTTTTGTAGCCCAAATTAGTCACCGTCACCAAATGGGGAGGGATATGTATGTTACATTTAAAAAATCGCCATGACATTGTTAAAGAAACGGATTGTTAAAGAACTAGAAAACGGCTAAACTTCTGAGAATGCGATTGATTGCTACTGCTTTAAAACTAATTATTATTATAATTATATGTACCATTTCGTTTATCTTATGTGTGCTGCCTGTGTCTCTCTTCAGTCGAATCACAGCAGATATTCTGAGCCCCAAAAATATTAATTTGAAATATTAATTTGAAATTGTTATGCATAAATACCGATTTATAACCAGCTGTGTTCTAACCGACCAACCTCTACTAAACAGCCACTTGCAACCCAGATTCCCTTGAAATGGTGAGCTCTATATATGCCTCATTTGTGGCGAGCTATGCTGCTTCTGCCTAAGCATGCTAACTTCAAATTCATCTTCTGGATAAATATGAGAGCGGACAGGAGCCAATTATGTGGAATATTAAATGGCATTATTCTCCGCCTGGCAGGAGATATGTTGGCCAGTCGAGAGATGACAACTTGAGAGCTAAGACCACTTATTTATGTATTTTCCAAGGTGTAAAGAATACTGCAAAGAATGACCTAATCTTTAAATTCTCTTCTCATCAATTTGCGTTATCAACCAGAGCTCCTGATTGAATCACACTGGCAACAAAACACATTTTGATAAAGCCATTGACAAAGAGCTAAAATGGCTATAAAAGCCGAGGCGAAGCAGGTTAAACTAAGTAAGAACCGACAGGAGCTGAGGGCGTCGAGTGATTATCATTAGCCGCCAGAGTAGTTGCCATTTAGCACGCACAACGAGATGCACGCCAGCAACATCAGCAGCAGTTGCAACAATGTTTGAGTAATTGTTTGCCGTTGCTGCAGCATCAACAGCAGCAGCAGCACCAGCAACTGCAGATGCAACAAAATTTGCATGCAAACACAAGTCCCTTCTCTACCCCTTAACCCTCCATTGCCCCCATTTTGGCTACAGGCTGCTGACTGCACACGTAACTGAACGGTGGCAACAACTGCAGCAGTAATTGCAACAAACAATTAGCGTCACTTGGATTTATGTTTACGAGCGGCTGCCTCGACATTTTCGGCCACAATGACAGTGCCCCCTTGCCCACTGCCCCTTTATGGTTGTCATCGGGCAAAAAGTTGATCAATCAGGAGTGTGTAATTTATTTACGATTTCGTTCCGCGAAAGAAAGAATGAAGAGTGGCCCAGGATTAACTATCTTCCCGCCGAACTCCACACTATGATTTATGTAATTGCCCTCTCTCGCGTTGTTGCAGCATGTAAATGACGTCATTACAAGGCGTGGGGCGTGGCAAGGTGGTCGTGGTCGGTGGTCGGTGGTCGGCTGTCGGCGGGCTGCCCCCGGCATTAGCTTAAAGCCAGATAGGAGGGCCACCATCCATCCGACATCTAGACAAACACGCGGACCGGCAAAGAAAGGCGTGGCCGGCGAGTTTCCGTTCCGACTTGCAACACTTTTGTGCAACACGCCCCACAACCTCGCATTTGACTTTGACTTACTGCGTTTGTTATTTCTTCGTCTTGTTAACTTGCCACTTGAAAAATTTAAATTTCACGCGAACCCGAAAAATTTAAGGAATGAATGTAAATTTAAAAGTTAAAGTTCGTTCACAAAAATGTTGAAAAATTCTGATATGGAAAACTAAAATTTATATTATCGATTTTTCACTGATTTTTTTGAAAGTAAAAATGTACAAATAATACTTTTACTGAACGCCTTCGTAAAACTGAGCTATGAAAAGCAGGTTATGCGTATACGAAAACCGATTATACACACCATAACTACTACGATTTGGAAAATTTTGTAGGACTGTCAACTGCTTTTATTAATATGTATCTTTATTTCTACAAGATTGGTTAATAAATATAAGGGCTAATTTTTTAAATCTAAATAACAGTGGTGCAGTATATAATTTATTATGTTCCTATAGAATGTTTTTTTCACTTACCTTATTGTTAATAGAACTAAAAAGGACAAGTTTTATACTAAAAAATAAAAAAAAACGTTTTTCTACAGATAATTTAGGATGTGAATTGTTTACATGAAACACTATGTTATAAATTAAGTTTAACTAAACTGTCTGCCAATCGGGGCATACCAAAAATCCCACACGGGGTGGACGGAATAAAGTTAGATTTGATCGAAAAGACGCCGGCGGATACGCATCCTGGGAAACATCCTTCTGTTCCCTGGTTCCGCCTCCGTGTATCCTCGTGTCGGTGGCGGTATGTTAAGTTTTCCTCTAAGGCGGCATAAATTATGTGAAACAATTTTTATTCCCACTACTGCTCGTGCCAAACTCTTTGCGGTTTATTAAAATTTCTATCCGCCGGGCTAACAAACTCGATGTGGCGAAGATATGTCGGGGAGAACGGCTTGGGGATTCCGATTGTTTGGACATGTGTGAGGTTTTCTATTATCTGTAAAATGTTATGATTTATTATGTGCGGGTTCAAGTTGATGGTGGGCCCATAAATTGCGACCCTTTGGAGTCTTTGCCTTTGCTGTTGCCGTTGGCTTTGCCGCCGCCTCATCTTTGGTCTCTGCCTTTGCCAGCAGCAGTTAAGTCAATTAATTGGCCTTAGATTTATTAGTTTTTACCCCGCCGGCCGCCGCTCCATCGGCATAGGTGCCGTGATTTATGGTTGAGGGAATGCCGACACAACAAAGGAACATTCCTCGACTTTGACTTTGGCACGCACACGGGATGAGTAGTCCAGGTGACAGAGGGGTTTCTGCCGCATTCCAGGAGGTGTGGCATTTGCATATAAATAGATATGTCAGCTAAAATATGAACCACATGAGCCGGGTGCTATATATCCTGTATTTCTTTGAATGTTGCCTCGCGGCAACAACGCGTCCATTGCGTGTCGCGATAAACACAAATTTCAAGTTCTCTGCTCGGAAATTTTCCATTAAATTAGTCTTAGTGTCAAATACTGACACCCCAACTGATGTGCCAAGGGGCGGATAGGACACTCATTGTCGCCTAATGTATTGTACTGAATTATTAACTGGGTCAAAGCGGGGAAACACATAAAAATTATCTGAATCCGAATCTTATGAAATAAACTGTCAAAAGTCTGGCAGTTAAGGACACTTAAGGGGTCAAGCGTGGTTGGGAAGCGAAATGAACCATTTGAAGTCTCTAGGGAAAATGGTCAATGTATTTTTTATGTTTTAACCATGAACAACAACCGCTAAAGCTATAAAAAATATTTATAAAGTTTAATCTTTAAATGAAACAATAACTTTTAAAATATAAATATAAAAAATTATTCGATTTGGTATACATAGAAACACAAATAGATTTAAAACTTTTGTTTTATCTACTCTTTATTACCCGATAAGAATTACCATTTTGTATGTCAGCTTTAAATAAAAAGGCTCCGCAATGCAAATAATCCTGACTGAGTAAAGTAGACCCTGCAAAGGGAGAAGAAAGGAAGACGAATTGAATTTCTTACAAATCATGTTGACAAATTCGCCTGTAGGCCAGGAGGCATTGCGTCATCGTCCTGCATTCAAGAGCAAGGAGTCGCATATGTGAGTGCTTGCAGTGGCACCCCGATTATCATCGCTGCCAGATCTTTTTTCCTGCTTCCCGAGCTCCCTGTTCGCCATCGGGGCCACCGGTGTAATAACTTAAAATCCCATAATAAAGCTACTTACTGCCGTCGTCGTTGGCGATGTCCTCGTTGCTCTAACAATAACTATTTTTCTTCGGATTTGGCTTGGGCTGTGGCTCGAATTGAGTTCCAGAGGCTTTCTGCCACCGCAAATGTGCAAGTCAAGTCAAGTGCATACGTCACTGGTTCCATTCAGAAAAGCCATTCCTAAGGTCTAAGTGCATGGCATCCATTTTGGTTATTTTTTTCTCGTTGCTCTACTCTTGTTAGTTACTTTTCTGTCTATAAAAAATATCCTGCCGAGCGACTGGATTAAGATTGAATTTTTCTTGGTTTTGGTTTTTCCTTTTCTTTTTTTTTGTGATCAGTTTTTTCTGCTCAAGCAGAAATTTTTATCTGGTCTTCGTCAGGTGAAGAGTCGTTTAGATACCCCACACAAAAGGCTGCTAAAAATATTTTTATGTTGAAATAGAAATATTTCCCCATTGAAAATGGAAACGTTTTTGCCATTGTGTTTGGCCTTGTATATGTGTGTGTGTGCTAGTGTGTTAGTGTGTGTATGCAACCGGATGTTGTACAGTTATTGGAATGTCTCTTCATTTCCACTCCCCACTCTCAAGAATTCTAGAAACGACATCGACAATGGACTATTAGTTGGCATTTTTCTAGTATTTTTGTCGTCCTCGTCCTCGTCCTCATCGTCGTCGTCGTCGACAGGAAATGGTAAACTGATTTCTCTTATTAATTTCAGTTGGCAATTTGTGCAGATAAATCAGCGCAGTTGTTAGTGCTGCGTTGCTATTTTCCCCTCTCCATTCATCTCTGTTTCCTTTGTACCCTAAGCCAATTCAATTCCCCTGAAAAGTAAGCTAAGCAATTGCTCGCATATTTGTTAAGAATAAGCATTCCGGAATTTTTCAAGTAAATTAACCTTTGCCTGGCACTCGTCCAACTGACGAAATGAATGGGGATTTTAGGGGGTTGTTAGCAGCAGGGGACCTTATATCTGTCATGATGCAATTGGAAGTTGTGAATGGAATTTCCAAGTAGTTGAATATCAGTGGCGCAAGTAGTATTTATAACCCCTCAGATATATCAAATAAACTTCATCTCATTTAAATCGGCAGCTAAAGAAGCTTATATACAGTGAAAACATAAAATATGAATATATGCCAGTTTTCTTTATGGAATTTGTTTTTAATCATCACGTGACCCCCCAGAAGTATGCAACGTTCTGCCGATTGCGACGATATTTTTAATGGTTTCAATTAAGCTGAATGGTCGATTCGAGGCATTATAACAACATTAACAATAATAACAGCAACGACGTGACTTTTGTACAAATTGTTAACGTCGGCGCTCCTCGCGACATTGTTGTTGTTGCTCCTGCTGTTGCGCTAAATATTTTAATTAAAGAAATAATTACATTAAATGCATTTCCTACATAACACGTGAATCGCACTGGCCATGCCCACAAGCAGTTGGTATTTTTTAAAACTTCATTAAGCGAATTTATTGCAAGCAGGCATCGGCCATCGAACACTTTCGAACAGAATGCAATTTAAATCCAGCGCACACTCCCACAAAAAAAAAATAAAATCGAATAAAAATGCAACAAATGAATGTGCAAGTGTCACTTTTGGGTCATCAATGAATTGCGCACCTTCGGCATTTTCCTCGTTTAATTATTTCAATAAAATCAGCATACGAAAATAATCATTGCAGAAACAGGCATCGAACAAATTATAAGAGAGGACTCGAAATGCGGTTAACACAATTATAATATCCATTTACTGTCGCATGGTATTGCATAATCGCGCTGAAGACTATAGCGAAAGCTTAAGCCATTTTTATTGGGCTAAAGGTTAATTTACTTTGGTAATAACCACTTTTAATTAAAAAAAAGGAAAACCGGATACACATGAAGTTAAATTCAATTTTTTCAGATCCTTTTTTCCAACAAAAGGTTGAAATTTGTAGGTAACTATTTCGGGTAAATATATTTAATGATAAACAACATTTAAATCATTCAAACCGCAATAGGGTGGAGCACAAATGACAAATACGACGATTAACCTTCTATGCAATATATTCCACATCATATGAACTATAACTTTCTATGATTCATTGTTTAATTTTGTTGTATATAAGTAATACTATTATAAAAAATACTTCCATTTAAATATTCTTTTCTCGAATTTATCTTTTAATAAAATTTATTATGATTCCGATGACATCCCAACCATCCTCGAGAACCCAAAACGGAGAAGTAGATAGACATTCGCTTTGATTCAACGCTGTACAATTTTTCCTTTGCTTCCTTGTTGGTGCTGTTGGTGTATTCTTGTTTCCATTTGCTGTGGCATATTTAATAACAGCGCATTAAGATGCGACACATTTGCAGTCAAGTCAACAAATTGCCGGGAGCAATGCCACCCCACCCCGCCTCGCACCACTTGCACCCCGCACCACTCAACCAACGCCCGCATTTTCGCAGCACCCATTTGGCTCACACTCCAAAATCTTGACGACGTGCGCGCTTTAATCTTGTTTAAAAATGCGCAGCTGTAACAACAACGACAGCAACGAGAAATGCGTGCTCGCGTGCTAAGGTGAATCTGAAAGAATATCCTTTAAAGTCGAAGATTTGAATACTCTTTAAAATGTAAACTTATAATAATTCTACTTGCAAATTTAAAACTGTATTTTAAATATGTATTTTCCAAATACCATTATCAATTCAATATAAAACAATATACATAAGCCTTAAAAATGCGTTAGTTAATATTACAGCCAAAGAAAAATTCAAAACATTTTATAAGTCAAATCTAAATTGTTCTTACTCTTGCGTTAACCTTAACTTAAGAAATCAAACTTTTGTCAAAACTGTAAGACCATTAGAAAGGGTATTATAAACAGGGGAATGGATGAGGTGTGGTGTGGTTTTTTGGAGGAAAATGCTGGCTGTATTTAGGCGGACGTCTTGTCAAATCTGCGCTGTGAAGCATTCTAATGAGAAGTGCTCTGCTCCAAGTTTTCCTGGCTCGCCTTCGTTACAAGGCCAAAAAAAGAAAACAAGAAAGCTGGGCTATCACAGCCACATAATCAAAGGGCG